GCGGCGGTTTGGCCGCTGTGGGGCCGACACGCGGCGGCGCCCCCCCTCCCCCGTCCCCCCTGCAGGCGAGGAAAGGCGGGAGAGGAGGGTTGCGTTTGGCCTCCCCTCCTTTGCCCCCGCGCCCTTCGTGACGTTCCCCGCCCAGAGGTCCTTGCCCTTTCGCTTTGCCATGTTCGTGTGCGATCCTGCTGGCCTGCAAGAACTACACAAGTAATAATACGACTACTACTACTAATAAAGAAAAAAAGGCCAAGGGAAACGAGAGAAGGCAAGAGAGAAGTTGAAGTAGAGCGACAGCGTGTCAGAAAGAAGCGCCACATGGGGGTTGGGGAGAGCGGAGAGTCCAGTAGGGCGGAGGAGGAAGGGGGATGGAGGCGTGCTTGTTCCTCGTACGCACCTCTTAGAGATTTTATCAATTACATTTCTTAATTTAGACGCTTTAGATTATTGGGCGCATCGGTTGCCATTTGGCAAGAAATTAGCAAGACGAAGGCGAGAAGGGAAACAACAACCGAAACATGTCCACCTAAGTTACAAATTACAACTTCCGAATACTACGCTGGCGCTTCTTTGCGTTAAAAAGCGCCTTATGGGCGCGTCCGCGATTCAAAAAGCTCTCCGCATTCTGCGTCCAACGCTTGCTAACTTGGAACTTATAAAAATCAGAAAAGGTGCTCATACGGAGGCGGCGAGATCGCATCGGCTTCGCTTCCGCTGCGCGAACTCCATCCCCATCAAAAGTAGAATTCAGTGCAGTCGTACCCACCATCGCTAAGGGGATAGCGCTATTTTTACCGCCACTCGCTGCGACGCTATTTGTAAGCATCATTTGACGAGCTACCTGCTTCACGCTACTGGGGAGAACATAGCGAAAGCCATCTTTATCACCCCCGCGTCGGTTGATTTTGCGCATCCTTTTCAAGTACGCCGCCGCTGATTGCTTTATATGATGCTCTTTCGCATTCAATTCCTTAAAGTAACGGTGCGCATTGTCAAGAAGGGAATTCTCCGTGATATCTTCCCCTTCCTTTTCCTCGGCCAGGTCTTCGTAAAAGGCAACTTCAGGGGGGTAAAGAGCAGGGTCCTCACGAACAAAGTTTCGCGTCTCCGCGATGGATTCGTCGCCTGTGATGTAATCCTTTCCACGTATCATCTGCTCAATTAATACCCGATCTAGCTCATCATTATATAGTGAGATATTAAAAGCCCTCACATCTTGCAAAGCAGAGTCAAACCCTTCGCTATGGATGGAGGAAGAGAGTGTCGGAAAGGTGCTTTTAGTCCTGATATCATGAGTCAAATCATTGTTTGCTGCAATTGAAGGAGGTTCAGGTTTCTTAACCTTTGCCCTTTTCTTTGCATCTGTGGAAGAAGGCTTTTCAGAAGCGTGCTTAAGAGCCATTTCCTGGATGGAAGGAGCCACCTTTTCTTTCTTTGACTTTGCCATCTTAACCAAAGCTCTAGCTTTATCTTTGAGCAACGTTTCTTTGCCCGTTTTCATACCAGACACAGTGGTCTTAGGTTTTCTCACCTTCTTTTTTACATCAGATGCATCCTTGCGAGCTTTCTTGGACTTTTTCTTCCCATCATGTGGCCTGTTGTTGATGCGTTGCTCTCGTTCCAATACAGTCTTTCGCTTCCTCTTTAGATACTTTTTCTTCTTAATGTAAGATTTATTACAAGTTAAACTCGCCAAGAAGTGAGACGCATCGACGTTCATGATTATCTTGATCAGGCAGATCCAGGACACTTTTATTTTTTGTATAGTTAGATAAACGGAAAACGTTCGCCACCAAGTCCCAACCCTATTAGACGCTATGTTTCGTAAACTACCTAACGAAACACAACTCCAAGAAGAAGAAGCGAATGAAATAAAAACAAATTCCTTTTGATAATGCAGATGCCAATAAGAGGAAAGAATTAGTGAATACTATCGCCTAAACACGCTTTCTGTGAATTAAACTGTTGGAAAAATCGGTTTGAGTCCCCTTTTCTCTGTGTGTGCACGCTTGATACGTTGCTCTAATCGTATCCATTTGAATGCATGTTTCGTATGGTTCATGATACATAGATATTCCAGCAATTATGGTATTGTAAAAAATTGAAAAATTGAATAAATTTCAGAAACAATATAAATAAATAAATATAGATATATATTTGAAAGCTATATTCTGCCTTTAGGAAGCAAACCATCCCATGTGAAATTAAACGAAGCTCTGATTGGTATTATAAACATTTTCGTGAAGTCAACAAGTTGATTGTAGAGCTAAAGTCCAGCAAACCGGTTAAAAATGGGAAAGGAATGGAGAAAGGGGAAGGGAAAAGACTAACTGTCAGCAAACTCTTCATGAATTAACATAGGAGAGATGAGTGCAAAACTCTAACTTACTAAGAGGGTTCTCCCGTTTGTAAAGTTTTATAGCGTCTCTCATCTTACGATCATTCTTAAATATTTTATGCTGCATTGTTGAATTCATGGACCTGTTTCAATCATGATCACCATCAAGAGAGGATTATACTACGAGAAATATTGCGAGACGCACGTAACTCCATTTTTAAAAATGTCCACATGGAAAAAAATGCATGGGTGGATGAAAAATGTAGTGAAAAAAAAGCCAAAAATTAATTATAGGCTTGTAAAGTATTCCTAAACTGACAAGGGGAAAGGGGTATCACGAAAAAGTATCATATTGGCGTCATTCAAAAGCGTTAGCTCTGAGGTATCACTAGTCAATGTAATTTTCCTTTTGAAAAATTAAGCGTGCAAGCATTTTTAAGTAGTTATAACAAAAATTTAAGAAAGCTCAAAGGTGTCGCCACTATAGGAGATGCTTAGTTGAAGTTTTTTAAACATGAGCTCTTCGGTTGGATAAGGTGGCAACTTTAGGTAGCGGAAGCACGTGTTCACGGAGGGGAGTGGCCATTCCTCCTCGCGGTGGGATTCCATTTCTGGACTGTTTCCGTTCTCCCCAGTTGTGAACTCTAACGCACGAAGTGAAACCGTGTTCGACGCCATGAGAGAGGCTTTCCGGCCCGCATCCTCGGATATTTTCCCTTTGAAGGCTAATTTCGCACCATCCCCTCCTTGTGGAGTCGTCGGATCGAGAGAATTATCCGGGGCGTTATTAAACAACACCGATATATCCTGCAACCCCTCCAAATTCTCCATGTTTGAGAAGGCGGTCGAGCTTTTCACGACGGTGATCACGCCAAGTGCAGACACCCCCCCGAGCGGAAGAGACGGGCAGCCGGTGCAAAATTGCAAAAACGCGCGCTGCTGTTCCGGAGTGAAACGGGCGCTCAGGATGTGAGCAAGCATCTTAAGCTGCGGGGAGTTGCTCCTGTAGCCGTGATCGCCCACCAATACGGAGCTAATCTCCTCCTCACTCCATAGCGGCTCGTTGGGGTGCTTGTCAGCTCCGCAAAGTAGAGCCATCAGCTCCTCCTCATCCAGCATACTAAACGCAGTGGGAGGAACAACGTCGGCGAAACCCCTCGTGAAAAGCCTCAAGGGCAGCTGGACAGACTCGTAAATCATAGCGCTCGTCACGCGGCGCTTATAGCGTTGTAAATTCCGCTTGGTCACCTTCAGCTTCGATCCACCAGGAATGAGCTCAAAAGAATCGTCCCCCGGAAGGGTGAAGAAGATTTCCAGCGATTTCAGCGTCGAGTTATCCATTTTATCTAGCATTTGTAATGTTCTGGAAACTGCTTGGTCAACCAACCCCACCGTGCTAGAGGGGAGCTCCAGTAGATCAAAGGGGGTTTCCGAGCTCATATCCAGATCAAACCCTGATTTCAACGTCAGGCTAAATGGCATCAACCCCCGACGAGCAAATATCGAAAGCGCAGGCGATAAACTCAGCGGAAAGACTTGGTCGTCCACAAAAACCCTTCCCAGGACGGCGCCGACGACGTAAAACGCTTTCGCCTGGTCTCGCTGATGCTGCACATAATCGTATAGCACCGCCCGCGGGTCGCTAAAGACAGTTCGGTCGTGAGATGCAAAAGAAATATCCCCTTCTGGAGATGAGTCTTTTAGCCTTCCCACGGAGCCTTTGTGGAGGTAAGATGCTGAATTGGATCGTCGTTTCAGATGTTTTTGGGGAGCCGCCTTCAACAACGGCGAGGGTTTCCACGAAAAAGACACGTTAGATGATTGTGAAAGGACGGGTTCAAAGCAGCTAGACGAAGGAAATAGTCCCTCAGGCGGGGGGATAATAAGTACCTCGTTACTAGGAGTTCGTTCCAAATGTTCGTAAGCAGCTTTTGCGATCCTTCGAGGGCAACGTGATTTTTTTGGTGTGGGAAATCGGGTAACTTTGACCTCTACAGTTGAATTTTTCGATGCGTATGATGGCTTTCCCAGTGGTTTCGAACGTGTGGCATCTTTCGTCTGCTCCAAATCCTCCACTGACAACCCCGTATTGCGCCAAAGCCGCAGCCTCTCTTTGCAGAGTTCCTTCGCAAGCAAGCTGTAAAACTGCGCGGTAGGCCCCTGCCCAACACCAAGATCGCCGATAAACTCTAGTGAGATGGGTAGCCGTAGGTCGGAGGACTTGCAAAGCACCGTGTACGCGTCCTGCAGGAGGCGAGAGCGATCCACGGTGAATTTGTGATTCGACGCCCTCGTCCACTCCCCGGGGAGTAAAGTTCCGCAGCGAGTGAAGCGGTTGTAACGAGATGTTTGCATATGATTCACGAGAAAACGACGCGCGCCGTACGCAAGGAACCGCGCCGCGTGATGACGCACCTGCTTCGGAAGCAAGAAGTAGGCGTGATTGAAGACGAAGTTCAACCACCGTGGTAAGGCGTACTGTGGGGGAAGCACACTTACCCGCAGCGCGGATGTCCGGAGAGAGTTGATCGCGGCAGCGGTTATGACAGAGCTCACAAAAGCGTTGCCGCGTTTCAACCGCAACCAAAGCGCCTTCGCGGCGTTCACATCTTCGGTGCCGTCAAACGTGCGGAAGCAGTGGTGTAGATACACCAACAAAAGCGCATCCGCGGAGCGCGCGAGCTTCGGCAGCGTCGTCGTCGCCACCCCCACCCCTACCTCCACCGATGCAAAATCCACCCGGCTATAGGCCCCACAGGCACACCGCTCATCGAGGTCCGTTTCAAAGTGGTGAAAAACGACGACCTGCCGCGGCGAGATCAGCCCGCCCGTCGCAGTGCTTGCGGCGGGTCGCGGCGGGTTTCCCCGCACCTCCGAGCCCTTCCGCGTGTCGTCCACGGCGAGCAGCCCGGCCTCGAGCTGCCCGAGCGCCGCATGGTCCCCCGTCACCACGCACTGGTGGTAAAGGTGGCTGAGGAAGGTGGACTGCAAGGGGCATGGCCCGCAGGTGAACGGACGGTACAGCACATAGCGCTCCTCGATCGCTTGGAGCAACAGCGGCACGGTGAGGGCGGCCTGCTCGTCGGATAAACGCGGCGAGATAACCTCGACCGACTCCCCACGAGCCTTTCCAGGCGGCTCCAAAGGGGTCCAGACGCACGAGCTTCGCCGCGTTTGAAGCGACAAGACCAACTTTTCCAACTCGCTTTGCAGAAGGGGAGGGTTCGACCTCAACAACTTTACCACTTCCACGACACCCTTTCCTGCCGCGCTCGGGAAAGCTAATTGGCTTTCCAAAAAGGACTCTGTGCGCGCAAGTAGTTTATCCATGTTAAATGCAGTCGCAGGACCTGGTGCGGTTTGCGTACCTTTTGATGAGGCCGTCCCGATGCGAAAGAAACGCTCGATATCGCCCACAGACGCAAAGAGGTGTATGCGATCCTTGTGCAAACGTTCTAAGGACGAAACCTGCCGCTTTTTTAGTGATTCATGAGTGATGTAATGATGCGAATCACTGAAAATGTCTAAAATAGGTCCTCGTTGCGTGTGGCAGCTGCATTTGCGTTCGGGAGAGGAGCGAATATATGAATTATTCGTGATGCGTTGAGGTCCAGCAGTAAATGCCTTGATACCCCAGGAGAGATCATTTGGCGCTATTACCACCTCAGACAGTCTACTTGGCCGTCTATGAGCGGTATCCGCAGCATCGAGGTGAAGGCTATGCAAACTATTCGTGGACTCAACTCTGGTAGTGCTTTCCTGCTGCCTAAGGGGATAAACGTCGGATTTAGAAGCATGATTTTCGTTAAGGAGCGAACTCTTTCGCTTTACTTGTGGGGTTGGCTCCTTAACAGACGTGCGCGGGCCCACTCTGCTAGCCTTCGAGCACAGTGCTACGCACGGCGAGATGTTGCTTAGAGCGTCCAATGCGGAAGCGGGCGTTATAGGCTTGACACTGCCGGGAAAAGCAATAGATTCAATAAGTGGAAGCTCGTTATTGAGACTCAAGGATTCAATGAGAAAACGAATAAGAAGTTCTGAAGCCTCAGGTATTTGGCGTGCGCATTCTAAAAAATATCGAACACGCGGCTGATGGCTGTGGAGGTCGAGCAGCCGCGCGATATAAGTATCACGATTCAACATATCTATCCACTGAAGCTGTTGTTTATTCAAGATCGAAGATAACCCGGGTGCGCTATCGGTAAATGTAGGCGAAAGGGTCGATCCTGATGCACCAGAAAGATAAACAAACTCCCCTCCAAAGAGATCTTCCATCGTCTTACCGTTCAAAAGGTACCGCAAAATAACAGAAGCAAAATTTAGACTCTGGAGCTCATATGAAGTCAAGGTTGAAGAGTCCTTAAGAGCGACAAAGAAGTTGTGAAGCACCTTCCGTTCAAATATAGGTAAAGGTTCGCAATCCGCGCCCAGGTTCATTGGTTTACTGGTGAGATCAGAGTCATTTGATGTAGAAATTGTGATTTCCTTGATTGTATTGAGCGCACGCTGTAAGATCACAGCGTCAGACATTTCCAAAACGTGTTCATTTCCAGGAGTCTTTTCAAAGAGCTTAGGACTCCCGCAGAAAGACGATTTTTTTTCTAACCTCATCACTATCTCTGAGCGCAGTTTATCACTCCTTTTTTCTAAGGACTTCTTAAAAAACTGCTTCTGGAAAGTACCAACGGCATAAGTTTTAGAACAAAAAGTTGTCAGCAGTTCTAAAAGCCCGCTTCTTACACAAGCCCTGCAAAAACTTAAAGGGTCGGTAGTATCACGATAGAAAAGCCACTCAATCATAGACAACACCAACGCCATGGTGGATTTGCCAACATTTTTCAGTAGCTTTTGAAACATTTCGCACAAGGGCAGCATGGCGGTATCTAAAAGCTTCTCCATCGGAGGTTGAGTGGATTCAGCGAGAAGGCACATCTGCAGTACTGCAGCACAAGCCCATATTGCAAGCTCTTTTGCCATTTGCCCGGGTGCCTGGCTGGCGTACTTACAAAAAGGAATCAAATACTGCTCCGGAATCGTATTGGAACTGACTTTCGGAACGCCCTCTTTGTTTATTAAATTCTGGGTTAAGTTATTGCCATCAAACTGATCTAAGCTCACGTTGTGTTTGTCAAACTCACCATTAATTTTCAAGATATTCGCTCGTTTACGATTCAAAGCGTAATCATTGCTACCTTTTGAGCAGTCAAGAAAATCTAAGGCAGTTTTTCGAGGTACTTGCATTGGCTGCGGACCCGCCTCCTTTACCGCCTCCAACACAGGTCGTAAAGATTTCTCATCCACGTAACGGTACACAAATGGCGTAAAGCAGCGAAAGATGTTGCGGTAGTTGTCTTCAGACCCGCGAAAAAGCGTCATCTGATGCAAATCCGCGGGAAGCACCTTTGCGTGGGCAGTGATAAGTGCCTCGTGGGAGAGTTTGAAATAGTCTATCTCCAAGCACATACAATGTGTTTCATTGATCTGATTCGAATGTCTCATCTCATCCTCCCACATCCAATGGTGCACCGGCAAGGGGAACTTCGGTCTCCTCCCAAAGGCTTCTAACGGAACTTGAGGGAGTGCGGAAATAAAAAGATGGATGGCGGATATAGTGATGATATTATCTTTATCACGAAACTGGGTTTTGTGAGCTCCACTCTCGTTCACTCTAGTGAAAGGATCCTCCAGAGAGGTGGTGATGCTAACTTCAGTGTGCTCGAAAAGGGAACGAAAGAAGTCCTTGCTATTGGGCTCAAGTAAATTTTCCGCTATAAGCTTACGATTGCTGCTTGCTAGAATAGACAGAAAGGTCTCACACAACAATATTCGTTCGTTGCGCGAGTTTGTCGTGAGTACTGTATTTAGATTGATTTTAGAAATCACCTTGAAGATGAGCGCGGGGAGGGTATCGTAGCTTATCGCCCTCGCAGTGCTCGGTCTGTAGCAAAGCAAAGCGCGCTCGATGAGCGTTCCCAAACATTGGACTGCAAGCTCGAATAAACTCCACACTTCAGGGATGAAGTCGAGGCCACAAAATTTCTCAATTAATCCCAACAAAGACGGCCCAATAATATTCTCCACATTTACCACAATCAAGTGTTTACAACGGGGGGGTTCCGTTCTCTGAAACCTTTGCCGCGCAGATTTACTCTGCCACTCAGATCGAAAAAGCCCCAATACGCCGGAATCCCAAGATCGTTTGATCTCCGATGGCAACACTACCTTAGAACACAACGTTAGAAATGTCTCCAACCCCTGCCGCGCGACCAGGACGTGCTCATTATAGCATAAATGAAGAAGATCCTCAACATAGATGACCGATAAACTCATCCCAGTCCGATCGTCCTTTCCAACAAAGCGAATCACGCGCAAACATTCTTCAATAAGAACGTCGGAGCTGTAGTTAATAAAGGACAACTCAAGACTTAAAGTTCTGCGCAGCGACTGGGAAGCGAGCTTTAAAAGAGAGATGTGATGCTCCTCGTCCATATTGTAGGAGGAAGGCACAAATTCTAATACTAACGAAAGTACACGAAAAGCCATTACAAGAACATCCCCAAAGATCACTTCCAATAAGTTTCTCTCTATGATGCTCATGAGCACAGGGATAACAGCCTCGGATTTAAAATTTCGTAAATAAGCCTCTTGCCCGATCAACAGGGAGTTGCAGAGATCCTCAAGCCCTTCGCAAAGAATCATGGGAAAGTTTGTATTCATCACAATAGATTGAATCTGCCCCCCAGAGTCTAGACATATCTGATTCATCGGAAAATTTTTGTTTGAAAATAAAAGTGCATGAGTAACTCAGTAAAGAAAATGAAATGAACTACAGATCTAAAACGTAGGATCTTTACCTCTGTTATTTCTTTTGAATTTATACACACCTTGTCTAAATACTTTTCTGATGCAATTTAAAGATGCGTAACAAAAGATATATAAACAAAGTAGATTAAACTCAAATTATATATGATCATTTCAAGTCAAAAGGCAAAGAGACATGTTGAGAGTCCAGAACTTAAATCGATCAAAAAAACTAACTCACGTATACATAAAAAAAGAAAAACGATAATTAAAACAATTAACCCCAAAGAAGAGGAATTAATAAAGGAATAAAGTAACTAAGGAATAAGCTAACTCGCAAGGAAAAAAATTAAAATATCAGAATAATTGAAAAGATAAATATACTTTAAAGGATAAGCAAACAACCTAAAAAAAGTAGAAAAAAAAACACAGATATGGAAAAAATAATCATAAATAAAACAAAAAAAAAGACACCCTTAATACTAAAGCACACAA